CAATGGGGAAGGAAAGGATTCTGGTTTCAACCGTTGCGTATATTAGCTGCGACACATGAATCAAGATGCTATGACCGGAAACATTTGATTGACAGATGACCGTTGATATATGATTGGCCGAATTTAGGTGTTCAGGCTGACGTAAAACTAACTGGCCTGCAGAAGATAACGGGGGAAAAAAAATAAACTTTAAGACAGGATTTTTATTTTAAATAGAAATGTTCTAACTTTTGGGACAGTATGGTCTGATAAAGAGAACATTTATATACTATATTTGACATTTAAATTTGATTTCCCTACAACTTTAAGCTTCCAAAAACCTACAATTCAGCAATAGAGTTGATTCCTTCCCGCTATCATCGCAGCCCCAACCCCTTTACAGCGGAACAGAAGACCTCTCCTATTCACCAGGCCAACAATTCCCCCTAACGACCCCCCTTTCAGAGACATAGACAGGTATGGGGCATTGCAGGCTAACAAAGAAGCCAAACGACCCCCATTCCAAAGGGGGGGACCCGTTCATCAATTTTGTCAGGACTCCTTTCTTTGTGTTTCTGTGTTTGTCTCCCTTCCTCCACCAGGAGGCGCCTGGTTCTGGTCCACCTCCTCTCACACCTGCTGATGGTTTCCTCGTTAACGGAGTGTTCTTAAGCTGCTGACTGCCACTTCCTCGACGCCAGAGTGTTTGCCAGTTTAGGGTACTCTAGTCATGCTTAGTTTGTGTCAACCAGAGTTTAACTTTGTTTTGTCTTTGCCTCTTAGCAGGAGGTTGTCCTGCTAACTGGATTTTCGGACCTTCTCTCCCTGGAAGGATAAACTGAGCTTCAAACTGAGCTGGGATTCAAACAGGAGGTTTGGATCCACTTTCCCCAAGAGATCGTTTGAGCTTCTCACTGAGAAAGGGATTAATCTCCACTACGACCCGTTCAAGTACCGCAGGAAATCTGATTGGCAGTCAGTATCTCGGTTCTCCAACTATCAACCGCATTCTGGGTAAACCTGTTCCGCCCTCCACCGAATCAGACAAACACTGGAACCACGGCACATAGACAGGAGTCAAGGATACAACAACTTCTCTGGAAACGTGAGTCAGCAACCAAAACCTCTTCTCCAAGTTTCACGAGTCAGATTCCCCACTGAGCCTGAACTAACCGATGTGTCTTCCCCTCACGTTGAGCAGTGTTCAGAGCAACACTTCTCCTCCTGTTTTATTTCTTCAATGAAACCCGTTAAACCTTTTCCCTGGTCTCTCTGTTCGCTTTTCTGCATTTTTGGGTCAGAACTTTGTAACATCATGACAAATTTCTATTTGCATGTTTTCTAAACAAAAACAAGGCTTTGTTGGGCTACGTCTTCAAACTTGGAGACAAAGTCCAGTGGATTGTTAACTTTTTTGGAGTTAGCCCAGAGTTAAAAATGGCTGCAGCTTTAGAGGTGAGAAATAAGCTCAATATAATCCATCAAACAGCCTCCGCCTGCATCGTTCAGTTCATTTACAGCCTGAAATGGAAGCTGTGGAAGAAGGTGTCTGGATATCTGAGATTTAGAAGCACTTTTTACATTCCCTTTAACAGGCAGACTAATTTCTGCCTGGAATAACTGATGCATATAATTTAAATCCTGAACTATGACACAGACTTCATGCAGGCGATGTCATCAAACAAGGATCTGATCATTTATCTATCTCCCACTGTGCAGCGAGGCCTTCCTTTACCAGCTGACATCATCTTTTCTCATAAGGCCAGTTACTAAACAACTTTAATAACTTTATTCCTACAAAAATACGTTGTTTTTAATTTGTTCAGTATTTGCAGAGCCTCCAATAAATACGACTATTTCACAACACAGTTTGATCTGCTGAGCAGGAGATCCTCCAGCAGGGAACGGATCAAAGCAGAAAAGCAACAGAAGCAGCTCGCTGCATGCAGCGGCTGCTGGGTGAGAGCCCATCCTGGACGCACCTCCAAAACAGAAACAACCAACCACCCACCGAGGATGACTGGAGACGAGCCACACGGAGCAGAGCCAAACGGATCTGCTGAAGGATCTAAACCATCAGAAACATCTAGGACTGAATCAATCCATCAGATTAATCAAATACTGAATAACCGTCAAATAATCTAATAATCGATGAAGGAAGTATAGAGACTGTAAAACATGCCTTCAGCTGACAGAGCGACCCACTAAGAGCAGGAATTATACCAAGATTGGACAAAAAAAAATGAGTTTTTTTGTATTTAAGATTAAAAAAAACTTTTCATCCAGAACTACACAAGTGGAAAAGTTTTAGTTTAGTTCCTGGTTTAATTCTGTAAAAAAATCTACTTTAAGGAACCTTTTGCTATTTGATCATCAATAGAAAAGATAATCAACAGATTAAAATCAATTTGCAAAATAATCGTTAGTTGCAACCCTAAAAGCATCACTCCTTGAAAATATCCATTTTATATCAAAGGTAAACCCCACATTAATTATATTATTATCTTTCATTTTTCTGTATGATACTATAGTAACAAACAGGGGACCGTATGGGGGGGGGGGGTTAGGAAGATTCTAAGGGCCCTTTTTTTAATCTTTTAACTATTTTTTTTCCTACTTGCTTTGATTCTGTTTTATTTTCCTATATTTTAATCATGTAAAGCACTTTGCATTGTCTTTGTACTGAATTGTGCTATACAAATAAATTGTGAGGAGGGCCCCAAAAGAAGAAGAAGAAGAAGAATTGTCCCGTTAAAATTTTCAAATATAAAAAGAAAATCCAGCAGCGAAATAAATAATGTTTGTGTTTTTCCTCATTTTTCAGCAGTAAACAGCGAGAAGCATGAATATATTGACCAAACCCCCCCGTCCTGCATCAGGTCCCCTCATGTCACCGGCAGGTTGCTCGTACCGCGGCTCCAAAGTGTAAATGTATTTTTTGGTGAGGGATAAAAAGCAGAGGGTATTGCTGCAGAGCCTCATTGCTGAGCCAAACCACTGAATTTAATGGTGAAATCCAGGTTCTGTTCAGACCCAGTAGAACCAGTAGAACCTGGATCCATCAGCCAGGGCGGGATTTACCATTAGGCAATTCTACGCAGCTGCCTAGGGCCCCATGGTCCTGGGGGCCCCATAAAATTCTGTTTCCATGTATGGTTAATACAACTATTGCTTATTTCTGCACATTAATTATGTTTTTGATAAAAATCCTTTGGCTAAAATGCCATCAGAACGCTGATAATATTAAGTGTGTCTCAGCCCCCCCTTCAGTGTCCACCATATTGGATCAGTCCATTTGCTGCACATGTTCAGAAAGGTCCAAACAGACAGCAGCAAACCATTTGAAAACAAACCATGCAAAGAGCAGTGTTGCCAACTTAGCGCTTTAGTCGCTATATTTAGCCACTTTTCAGACCCCTCTAGCACTTTGATTTCTAAAAAGCTCCTAGCGCCAAATCTAGAGACTTTTTTCTCCTACTGGAGACTTTGGAGACAACATCTAAAAGCAGCGAACTCTGCTCTCCAGAGCGAGTAGATTGGTAACCCCGCCTCCTGCTCTCCTCTATCTTGTCTGCTGTCATGATTCATGCTGCTATTATTTCATCCAAATGAAAAATGGAGAACAGATAAGCAGATCATGGCTTGTCTACAGTGAAAAGAAGGACTGGGTTATTTACTTTGGCCTTTTTGGAAACACAGGAAGGAGCAATCAGCTAAGTGAGCTTAGTGCTTGGAAAAAATCTTTCATTCCTTTAGAGACAGCATGAAAAGTCAGCTGAGTACAAAACATAGAGAGGAAAACAAGAAGAAAAGGGACAAGAAGAGAGGGACACAACCTAGAACAGATAATGGATGTCTATTCTATTAACATTTCTCTATCTGGAGAATGGGGCTGTTTGATGTGTTGTCTTCTTCATTCAGAGGGCCCCCTGCCTGTCTTTGCCTAGGGCCCCACATTTCCTAAAGCCGGCCCTGATTTTAAATAGTGATCATAAATGAAACAAATCAATTCATCTTTACAGCAGTTTAAAAGCTTACATAGATTTTTTTTTGTGTGTGGGGACCAATATCAATGTCTTCAGTGGTTGTAGACGAAATATATCAGTGGGGCGTGATGGGGCCACAAGCATACAAAAAAGAAAAACTAGGACAAGAGTGTTTAGTATTCTATAGAGCCATAGAGCCCAGGTTGCAGAGTTGATCTAACGGATACAAACTGTGATCATTTCTCACTACAGGTGAAGCTAAAACTGCCTGCAAGTTCTAAATAATTATTCAACTAAATTTTCCAGGCAAAATAATAAATCAGTCCAAGATACAAATCAGTATTAGTCTCTGCTTTCATGACAAATGATCATTAGAAATAGATTTAGTTACACTGCAATAACAGATCTTTAAAAAGTATATTTTTTTAAATAATTGCATAAATTTTTGTTGTGTGTTTTTTCAGTAAGTGTTGCACTGATACCGATACCAGTATCAGGCGGGCCCCGATCCAGCTCTAAAATGGTGGCATCGGTATCGGCGAGTACCGACCAATAGGGCACCGAAAGTTTCTTCAACTATTGTCGCCCATTCCAGGTAGGCAATAGAAAGTTCTACTGGATTCACTTTGTTTTAGTCTTTTTCCTGCTTCACAAAGGAAGGCAGCAGCTTGACATGAAGCCATGATGGCGATTATTTTACATCCAGGTAGGATGCAGTTCTTCATAGATACACACACATCAGTTTCAGTATAGGCTGATACTGCACAGCCAGGTATCGGGGCCAAAAAATGGCATCAGTGCATCACTACTTTCAGTACAGGGGCCATTAAAGGGACCAGTGCTATATGGGCAGAGGCCCCCCTGTGGTCCCCCGTCTAGAACTGCCTCTGAATGTCTTTTATGGGGCCCCAAAAACCTGGTAGCGGCCCTGCTAACAAATTAATTAATGTTAAACCCAGTAGAACCAGTAGAACCTGGATCCACCAGCAACAGGTTGGTTCCACGTTTCCAGTAAATCAGGGTGGGGGGGCTTACCTTGCTCCTGATCTGACCGGAGGTGGACACCTTCCGGATCAGTTTCTGGGGTCCCTCCTGCTCCGCGTCGCTGTCGGAGGACTCGTCCACCGCCCCGGGTCCGGGTCCAGGTCCGGGTCCGGCCGCGGCGGCCTCCACATGGGCATGGACCCCCGCGGCGGCCCCCTTCTCCGGCTCCTGTGGGGCACAGGAAGAAGAGCGGGGCCGGTTAGACTGCGCTGCTCCCCGGGAACAAGCGTCTCTCCTCGCTGTCATCTCCCCACGCCGCGGAGGGAAGGATGCTCCGTGGGTCGGTGGGCTCCACGCCCCCCCACCCACCCACCGAGGGGCAGACCCACGGACAGCGCCACACCACCGCTACCTCCACAGAGGGACGGAAAATGTCTCAAAGTGGACTGAAAGTCTGTCCTGTAACGGACAGAGAGACAGGCTGGTCCTGAAGCAGCAGGACGGTGGCCGGTAAAGCCCAAAACAGCCAAACTAAACCCACCTGACTTTAGAAACTACTGAAAACCAGCAATAAAAGCAAAGCAGCCGCTCTCAGCTTAGTTTAACTTTAACTTTGGACAGAAAATCCAACTTTGGCACTTTTTCCCCGCAGTAAAAAAACGATCTAACGGAACCGCCGAAGTGAGAAACGGACGGAGTGAGAGGAGTCCTCCTCCGGCCGGTGCGGGGCTTTAACTGACCAGTTCCTCCCAGGCAGGGCTGCGGCTGTAGGGGAGAACCTCCTCCATGGCGCCAGAGTTTCAGCTCCGCGTTGACAGGGAGACAAACACCGAAGAGGAGGAATCAGAGACCTGCTTCACCGCCGCTGAGGAGGAGACGAGCAGCCTGTCCGAGTCCTCCCTCCGCTCTGCCTCCTCTCTCAGCTCGGACCGGGGCCTCTCCTCCCCTCTCCTTCCCTCCCCCTTTGCTGCTGGGAGCTTTTCTTTTCTGTCAAACAGTATGATCTATTCAGTTTATTTCTATAGCTCCAATTCACATCATGTCATCTCAGGTCACTTTCCAGTTCACCAGATCATCCAGTCAGATTGATTCAAAGTTTTCTATCTAAGGAAAACCAGCTGATTGCATCGACTCATTGACTCTTCAGCAATCCCTCACACTAAGCATGCTTGTAGCGACAGTGGAGAGGAAAAACTCCCTTTGAACAGGAAGAAACCTCCATAGACTTTTTTAGGCAAACTATGAAGACACTGCTGCAGTGATCAATTCTACTGAGGATAAATGCACGAATGAGTTTCTCTAGATCCTACTGAACATTAGTCCATGTTCTTCAGGTGATGAAAGGCTGACTTAGTAACGGCCTTTCTGAGCCTCTGAAGGTTCAGGTCTGAGTCCATCATGATTTCAGCCATAATCAGTGGTTTCTAGCTGCAGCAGCTGAAGCTGGGAGCTAATTCTGGATCTCTGCTCCTTTGGTTCAAAGATTATTACCTCAGTTTGGTTTTTATTCGGTTGTAGAAAATGATGGTTCATCCACATATTGATCTGTTCTCAGCATCTAACCAACGCTCTGATGAGTTTGGGATGAAAAGCTGTGTGTCGTCTGCATAGTGATGCTAAGTGATATGATTGTTTGCTATAATCTGAGCTAAGGGGACCATGTAGATGTTCAATAGGAGGAGCCCCACAGTGGATTCTTGAGGAACCCCACTTGTGATTTTTTCTGGTCTCAAATTTATGTATGTAAATTTGTGTATTGACACTGCTTTTCAACATAAAAACTGTGCATTAGCACTGCTTTTCACCATCAATAACTCTGTATTAGCCCTGCTTTTCACCATAATTAATTAACTGTGTATTACCACTGCTTTTCACCATCATTAAATGTGTATTAACACTGCTTTTCACCATAATTAATTAACTGTGTATCAGCACTGCTTTTCACCATAATTAATTAACTGTGTATCAGCACTGCTTTTCACCATAATTAATTACCTGTGTATTAACACTGCTTTTCACCATAATTAATAACCTGTGTATTAACAGCTTTTCACCATTATTACCTGTGTTTTAGCACTGCTTTTCACCATCATTGACTGTGTTTTAGCACTGCTTTTCACCATAATTAATTAACTGTTTTAGCACTGCTTTTCACCATAATTAATAACCTGTGTATTAACAGCTTTTCACCATTATTACCTGTATATTAGCACTGCCTTTCACCATCATTAACTGTGTATTAGCCCTGCTTTTCACCATCATTAACTGTGTATTAGCCCTGCTTTTCACCATAATTAACTGTGTATTAGCACTGCTTTTCACCATCATTAAATGTGTATTAACACTGCTTTTCACTATAATTAATTAACTGTGTATCAGCACTGCTTTTCACCATAATTAATAACCTGTGTATTAACAGCTTTTCACCATTATTACCTGTGTTTTAGCACTGCTTTTCACCATCATTGACTGTGTTTTAGCACTGCTTTTCACCATAATTAATTAACTGTTTTAGCACTGCTTTTCACCATAATTAACTGTGTATTAGCACTGCTTTTCACCATCATTAACTGTATATTAGCACTGCCTTTCACCATCATTAACTGTGTATTAGCCCTGCTTTTCACCATAATTAACTGTGTATTAGCACTGCTTTTCACCATCATTAAATGTGTATTAACACTGCTTTTCACTATAATTAATTAACTGTGTATCAGCACTGCTTTTCACCATAATTAATTACCTGTGTATTAAGACTGCTTTTATCCATAATTAACTGTGTATTAGCACTGCTTTTCACCATCATTAACTACGTATTAGCACTGCTTTTCACCATCATTAACTGTTAATTAGCACTGCTTTTCACCATCATTAACTGTTAATTAGCCCTGCTTTTCACCATAATTAACTGTGTATTAGCACTGCTTTTCACCATAATTAACTGTGTGTCAGCAATGCTTTTTACCATAATTAATTAACTGTGTATTAACACTGCTTTTCACCTTAATTAATAACCTGTGTATTAACAGCTTTTCACCATTATTGACTGTGTTTTAGCACTGCTTTTCACTATAATTAACTGTGTGTCAGCAATGCTTTTCACCATAATTAATTAACTGTTTTAGCACTGCTTTTCACCATAATTAACTGTGTATTAGCACTGCTTTTCACCATCATTAACTGCGTATTAGCACTGCTTTTCACCATCATTAACTGTGTATTAGCCCTGCTTTTCACCATAATTAACTGTGTATTAGCCCTGCTTTTCACCATAATTAACTGTGTATTAGCACTGCTTTTCACCATCATTAACTGTGTATTAGCCCTGCTTTTCACCATAATTAACTGTGTATTAGCACTGCTTTTCACCATAATTAACTGTGTATTAGCCCTGCTTTTCACCATCATTTACTGCGTATTAGCACTGCTTTTCACCATCATTAACTGTATATTAGCCCTGCTTCTCACCATAATTAACTGTGTATTAGCACTGCTTTTCACCATAATTAACTGTGTTTTAACACTGCTTTTCACGATAAGTAACTCTGTTTTAGCACTGCTTTTCACCATAATTAACTGTGTGTCAGCAATGCTTTTCACCATAATTAATTAACTGTTTTAGCACTGCTTTTCACCATAATTAACTGTGTATTAGCCCTGCTTTTCACCATAATTAACTGTGTATTAGCACTGCTTTTCACCATCATTAACTGCGTATTAGCACTGCTTTTCACCATCATTAACTGTGTATTAGCCCTGCTTTTCACCATAATTAACTGTGTATTAGCCCTGCTTTTCACCATAATTAACTGTGTATTAGCACTGCTTTTCACCATCATTAACTGTATAATAGCACTGCTTTTCACCATCATTAACTGTGTATTAGCCCTGCTTTTCACCATCATTTACTGCGTATTAGCACTGCTTTTCACCATCATTAACTGTATATTAGCCCTGCTTTTCACCATAATTAACTGTGTATTAGCACTGCTTTTCACCATAATTAACTGTGTGTCAGCACTGCTTTTCACGATAATTAATAGGTTTTAACACTGCTTTTCACGATAAGTAACTGTGTTTTAGCACTGCTTTTCACGATAAGTAACTGCGTATTATCACTGCTTTTCACGATAAGTAACTGTGTATTAACGCTTTTTTTCACAATGATTAACTGTGTATTGACAGTGTTTAAACTGTGGTGAAAGCAGGGGAAGCGCGCCCTGCGCTGACCGGCGGGGACTTTATAAAATAGCGGAACCTTTCTTTAGATGAAGGGATCCCACCGGATTACTTCCGCCTCGGACACCGGTGTCCCTCCGTTATTTTCCTCCGGCTCCGGCAGTTATAGCTGACAGATGTTATGAAATTGGACTAAGGCCGCTGTAGCTCCCGCTCTGACCCAAACCCGGGGCTTTTTTAGTTCCACATAAACGACACTGAAAGCGGCCGCAAGATGCACTACCAGCTGCTACGAGGCTCCTCGGCTGTGGCCTCTAGAAGGGTCCGGAACATTCTGGGTTCGGTTCTGGGTCGGGACGGCTGGCTCTGCAGATCCCATGAGGTCAAACTAGTGAACACCTGTTCAGGTGGGTTACAGGCTGGACTCTCCTTCCTCTGCCGGAGCAAAGCCAGAACCAGGAAGGTTTTATTTCTGTCACCATCCACAGCTGATGGAGGAAAGCCCAGTGTTTCTGACTGAAAGGAGAAAAAGCCGCAGCTGGACTGGTTTCTGGGTCAAAGGTCACTGACTCTTAGACATGTCTGCTCTGACAGCTTTAGTTGAAAATGGTTTCCAGACTATTTTTAATATGTTTATCTAATCTCTAATGTGATTTATACCACTGTCACACTCATGATTTCTCATCATCGCTCATATCATTTCTGAAAATATCCAAATAACAGCAAAGAGGTGGTGCAATTATTTATAGTATTTTAATAATTATGAAAATTAGACCAGCTACAACCTTCCTGCAGACAGAATTAATCAAATATGTGTTATCAGCTGCATTTAATGCACTAGTGCATCAATTTCTACAAAACCTGCTCACCTTATTACCTTAAACCTTTCACTCAGCACCTCATTATATAACCAGGGCCGGATATAGGAAATTTGGGGCCTTCGGCAAAGACAGGCAGGGGGCCCTCTGAATAGAGAAGACAACACATCAAACAGCCCCATTCTCCAGATAGAGAAATGTTAATAGAATAGACATCCATTATCTGTTCTAGGTTGTGTCCCTTTTCTTCTTGTTTTCCTCTCTATGTTTTGTACTCAGCTGACTTTTCATGCTGTCTCTAAAGGAATGAAAGATTTTTTCCAAGCACTAAGCTCACTTAGCTGATTGCTCCTTCCTGTGTTTCCAAAAAGGCCAAAGTAAATAACCCAGTCCTTCTTTTCACTGTAGACAAGCCATGATCTGCTTCTCTGTTCTCCATTTTTCATTTGGATGAAATAATAGCTGCATGAATCATGACAGCAGAACAGCTCAGTGAGAGGCTAATGGAGAAGTTTAGATCAGATATAGGTTGTAAAATAATTTCCCGGCTTTTAGCCGCTCGCAGAGAAAGAAAAAAGATTGGCACACCAACAGTCCCACTGAAACACAGCTGGGGGGCAAAACCGCTACTGACAAAAGAAATATTTCATGTTTGCCTTCAAGCTTCAAACATGCAGAGGAAGATGTGACCAAAATAAACCATTTCCATTGGGAAACATGACTGTGGCAGCATTACGCTGTGGGGATGTTTTTCTTCGCTAGCAACAGACATAGAAGCAAAATACGAGCTTGTTCTGGAAAACAAACAACAAAACAAATGAAGTTTAAGAGCGGGCTGAACAAACATTCAACCACAGCCACAAAAGAAGGCTTTAGATTGTTCCTGTGTTAGAATGGCCTAGTCAAAGTCAAAGGTGTAATCAAAGATCTTAGTAGAAAATGGCTTACTTCTCAGTGAGAAGATTTCCTTCAGATTTTCCGTCAGCAGCTGTTCCATTTGCCCCATCTTTCCAGTCTAAAATAATTATTTGACATTCTTTTGGTGTCAGTGGGTTATGAGACATGAAAGGTGTTAATCCAGATTCAACAAAAGTTGATTAAAAAAAAACAATCCAAGGAACTTTGTTTCCAAGTTTGAAGACGTTTCTCTTCCATCCAGGAAGCTTTTTCAATTCCAAATGTCAGAAATAGCGTTTAGTTCCAGGTTTTATCCAGCAGCCCAACAAAGCCTGGTTTTAGTTTAGAAAACATGCAAATAGAAACGGATGAACGGGTCCCCCCCTGTGGAATGGGGGTCGCTTGGCTTCTTTGTTAGCCTGCAATGCCCCATACCTGACTATGAGGCATTGTTCTTTGTGTCATTTTTTAATTCCACTAAGAAGACAGGTGGTTTGAGAGGAGCGTGAAGGAAGCCATGTTTGTTAAGAAAGAAAAAACAACTTTAAACAGGGGGAGGGGGGACTCAGATTTCAGTTTTCAAAAACCTTCAATGCAGCAATAGAGTTGATTCCTTCCCGCTATCATCGCAGCCCCAAACCCTTTACAGGAGAACAGAAGACTTTGCCTATTCAGCCAGGCCAACAATTCCCTCTAACGACCCCCCTTTCAGAGACATACCCGCTGAGCACTGCTAATATAGCAAAGCTGCTCTCCGCATTGAACACAGGAGCAGCAGAAGCATCTGGAGACACTTTACTGGACCTTTGACCTTAATGTGGATCAAACATCAAATATGGAGCAGCAGAACCTGGTGGGGATTCTCAGTCATCCAGGTCATAGTCATTCCAAAAAGTAAAAAAATCAATCCGCTGATCTTTGTTTCCAAGTCTGAAGACGTTTCTCTTCCATCCAGGAAGCTTTTCTCAATTCAAAATGTCAGAAATAGTGTTGAGTTCCAGGTTTTATAGAGTGGACCAAAAACAAAGCCTGGTTTTTGCTTGGAAAATATGCAAATAGAGACATAGACAGGTATGGGGCAGGTATGGGGCATTGCAGGCTAACAAAGAAGCCCGTTCATCCGTTTCTATTTGCATGTTTTCTAAACCAAGGCTCTGTGTCTGCAACTTATAGCTTTCTCTCTCCAGTTATTTTCCTGAAAAGAGATCACTCGGGACAAACTTACTCTAAATAACACTTCATAACTTCTATGTAACCAGAAGTTATGTTAAGTCTCCTAACCAGGAGACATGATGACAGATTCTGATCAGATTCAAATCAGAGAAGTTGCTCAGAGTTACAGAAGGCAGCTGTTTACCAACCGGGCTCACTTCTCGGCAAGTGGCCCCGATTAACAGTTAGAGAAGCATTTTATACTTCTCTAACTATGCCACATTATCACATCGTTACATCACACACGTTTGCAGATGAGGAGACATCCATGGCTCCAGCCTTATCAAAATATTCCACTTTGATCTTAGCTGAAGGACGCCGCTCTCATTCAATTCCCAAATCTTTGCCACAATCAGAATGAAGATCATAACTGCTTATAGCCAGACAGAGGAACTGGCCTAATCGGATAGACTACTGGGGAAAACATCAGTTCTGACACGCAACAGGCAGCTAATATTAAGGTGTAATAAACTCACACATCATCAATGATAATTATCCTAACAGCTGCTGGATAAAACCTGGAACTAAACGCTATTTCTGACATTTGGAATTGAAAAAGCTTCCTGGATGGAAGAGAAACGTCTTCAAACATGGAGACAAAGTCCAGTGGATTGATTTTGACTTGTTTTGGAAAGCAGCACAAGCTTCTTTGCTGCTCAAGTCATGGTGTGAATGTAGCATTAGCATTAGCATTTATAGGTTCATTCTTCTGATTGTTAGAAGAATGAACCTATGAAACATAAAGTACCAAAAATGATCTCATGTCTTCCTTATGAAATTCCAACCGCCATTGAAGCACACATACTTCAGGACTTTCACAAATGCACTTATTTTAAGAAAAAATGACTTATCTAGATTTAGATTTTTTGCAGTGAAAAGCTGCTATTGATCATGATTTCAGATAGCGGTCCTTCTGCCTACCTTTATACTGTTGAGGTTTAATTTATTGTCAGAAAACAACTTCTTGGTTGAATAGAAGCAGCAGCAGAGATGTGAACATTTTTGGGATTCACCGTAAAAATGATGTTTTCTTTTTTTGTTGATCCATAGACATCAAAAGTTTTTCCTGTTAGAGCAGCAGCACTCAGCCTCTCCTCCTCCTCCTCCTTCCAGGTGACAGTGTGACCATCGGAGAGATCTCCTACAAACTCAAAACCCCTCGGAACCCGGAACTAGTTCCCCTCAAATATCGTAGGTACCGCCCACAAAGTGAACCAGCGTTGACTCTGTGGTCAGGATTCTCATTACCCTGGTTTTGACTCGCTAGTTTCAGACTCGCTGCCACAAGCAGTGGCTCAGCACCTCCGCTGGATCATGCAGAAGGACCTTTTGGGCCAAGATGTGTTCCTCATCGGACCCCCAGGACCCCTTAGAAGATCCATAGCCATGCAGTACCTGGTGAGTACCATGAGGAAAGCCTCTTAGTCCTAAATATTCCAAATAAATAATCAGTGGTGGACCTACCTTGTTATTTAGCTTCATGATCGACGTTTTGGAAAGGTCCTGAGAATACAGAAGATGGGTACTCAGGGGAAATCCGAAGCCAATAGTGTTATGGGAATCCAGGAAAACACCTTATTACCTTTGTAATATTAAAAAAATTTTGATATTTTGATGGTAAAAATGAATGTCAATGTAATAACAAGAAACGCCAACTTGCCTGAATGTACACTACTCAAAAAAATTAAAGTAACACTTTGTAATCAGAGTATAGCATCAAGTTAATTAAACTTTAATTAAATTAAACGTTAATTAAACTAAAGTGAACAACAGGTGAACTAGAGGAGCAACAACGAGACGACCATCAAAGCAGGAATGGTTTTACAGGTGGAGGCCACTGACATTTTATCCTCTCCTCATCTTTTCTGACTCTTTTTCACCAGTTTAGCATTTGGCTAGGGTCGCTGTCACTACTGTTAGCATGAGGCGCTACTTGTACCCTACAGAGGTTGCACAGGCAGTCCAACTCCTCCAGGATGGCGCATCAATATGTGCCATTGCCAGAAGGTTTGCTGTGTCTCCCAGCACAATCTCAAGAGCATGGAGGAGATTCCAGGAGACAGGCAGTTACTCCAGGAGAGCTGGACAAGGCTGTAGAAGGTCTACAACCCATCAGCAGGACCGCTATCTGCTCCTTTGTGCAAGGAGGAGCAGGAGGAGCACTGCCAGAGCCCTACAAAATGACCTCCAGCAGGCCACTGGTGTGAATGTCTCAGACCAAACAATCAGAAACAGACTCCACGAGGGTGGCCTGAGGGCCCCACGTCCTCTAGTGGGCCCTGTGCTCACTGCCCCTCACCGTGGAGCTCCATTGGCATTTGCCACAGAACATCGGAATTGGCAAGTCGGCCACTGGCGCCCTGTGCTTTTCACAGATGAGAGCAGGTTCACCCTGAGCACATGTGACAGACGTGAAAGGGTCTGGAGAAGCCGTGGAGAACGTTCTGCTGCCTGTAACATCGTTCAGCATGACCGGTTTGGTGGTGGGTCAGTGATGGTCTGGGGAGGCATATCCATGGAGGGACGCACAGACCTATACAGGCTAGACAACACCACCCTGACTGCCATTAGGGATCGGGACTGAGTTTAGGGCGATTTTACTGATTTTTTTAAATTTTATTTCAGTATAGTATGAGAAAAAAGTCAGAAATCTGACTTTAATCTCAGAATTCTGACTTTTTTCCCAATAACGTCGAATAACGTCGCTCCCACGACAGGCGACGTTATTCTCAGCTCAACAGAGGAAACACGGAGGACAGAATCGAAGCAGAGGCGGATTTAGGAAATTCGGGGCCCTGGGCAAAGACAGGCATGGGGCCCTCTGAATTGAGAAGACAACTGATAATACAGACCCATTATAGAGATACACAAATTTAAATACTATAGACAAACATTATTTACTAAATTTTGACTGCCTTAATGATGTTTTATATTTTTATTTTATGTCTAGGGAAAAATAACAATTCAAGATATCTTCGGAGAGTCAAAATGCATTTCACAGTTATTAATGTAATTGAATAAATGTTGGTAATAATCAAATAATTCCCCTCCTCCTCCTCCTCTTCTTCATCACTATTTTCTGTTGCTTCATCCTTGTGAACCAGGAGTTGACCAAACGCGAGGCGGAGTACGTGGCGCTGTCCAGGGACACCACAGAGACGGACCTGAAGCAGAGGAGAGAGATCCGATCAGGAACGGCCTTCTACATCGACCAGGTGCAGCATGGCTCCTCCCACTGATCTCTATTTATTCCCTGGATTGCTGATTGAAATGAAGCCACCGGCCGCCATATTGGTACTCCCTGGTTAGAGCGATTGCAATGTAATATGTGCGCTACAGCATCGAACAACGATGATGTTCTCATTTTTAGGGGAAATTAAAATAAACTTTTAAAATAAAGATAAATTAATCACTTTGACACAGACTGGCTGATTCAGAGCATCAGTGGATTACTGCTGCTCCTGTGTTCGATGCCAGAGAGCAGCTTTGCTATATTAGCTGTGATCAGCGGGTAGAAAGTAGTTAGAATCTATGTTGAAGTGAGAAAGTCCTCCTGAAAACATGGTCTGTGCAGTCAGTTCATCCAGATTACCATCCTGCCTTCAAAGATTATTTCTCTGTGGGAACCGCTCACTAACCTGACCCCGCCAGATGGATTTGCTGCTCTGACCCCTGAGCAGCAGGAACCGAGGGGGAAATTGAAGAAATAAAGCCAAATTATAGATCTGTGTTTAATGCAGAATTCACAGCAGATCAGGAAGTGTTTGCTTTGGGATGGAAACCTTTGATGATAAAATCATTCCTTTATTGGACATTCTGTTAGCTTCTATCTGCTATATTAACCAATAGGATGTGCTGAACTAGATCTGCTATTTTCACAGCTTTTGTGACACACTTTTTTTTTATAAAGTAGGGCATTAATTCATTAAAGTTTATTTGAATTCTATAAATCAAAGTTTTCTGTCCAGCAGCAATGATGATCTGCACGGCAGCGTTCTATACCCAGCTACTGTAGCATCTAGGATAGAGCTGTCAGTCTGGGAAAGAATCTGGTTGGTGTTACAAACTATAAAGGTTCAATTTTTTAGCAACATAAAACTGACTAAAACCTTTTAAGTTTTAGTCGACTAAAACCGGCTAAAACTATGACAAATCGTAACGACTAAAATGTGACTAAAACTAGTAAGTTTTCGTCCTGAAGACTAAGACTAAATCTAAGATGGCTGCCAGAGAAACCCCTGATACTAACGATTATTCCCTTAAAGTCAATCCAAGCGTTTTAGTTCCTGGTTTAGAGATTAAAGAGGAGGCAGAGGAAGCAGAGTTCCTCCATAATGAACTGGGATCCTGCCAGCTGACTAATGAAAACCAGTAGAGGATGGTGGCATGTTAGTCCTGAGGAGGCCACACCTGAGTGCAGCCTTCATGAAGCTGTGCGTTCTGATTGGTTCTTGTATACGGCGGCTTTAGAACGACGCTGTGAGTCCAATTCAGGCCAGAGTTGGACTTCAGCAAACAGCCACCCAGCAGGTTCTCATCTGTTCCCTTCTCTGCTCATCAACCCCCCCCCCCGTACTCTGTCAACTTTCTGAGTTCAGTTACCGTGGAATCGGGCTGTAATCCATAGGGCTGCTCTGCCTAGAACCTTCTGTTCCTCTAATTTGAATTCAGTAACTAAAAATAATGGAGCGATCCAGATAAGGCTCATCGTTTCCCACTAATCAGGATGGACCACAGCATAAAATCAAACTGGTTTTAAACCAGTTCTGACTGTAGTCTGCTGGTTTGAGGCTTTAACTGTGTTTTATTGTTAATTTTGTCCCATTTTTAGATGGCTTTACCGTCCGACAGCCGTTTTTTTACCCTCCTGTCCAATCAAGCACACGCACAGTTGTTCTAAAAGATGTTTTTCTGAATTCGTTGATAAAATTAACATTTATGTTTTACTTTAAGATATAAAAAAAAGAGTGAAAACATTTTTTAAATTGGAATATTCTTGATGGAAACTTTATTTTTTTGCAGTTTATGCACAAAAAATGAGCTAAATATAAGCTTTTAGCTAAAGACGCTGTTTTCTGTCGACCCAAAGAACCGCGTTGTTCTCTGCCGAGGATTTTCTAATAAACCAGGAAAAAACACCTGACCTGTTAGTTTCATTAGCGTATGATGAGGATGATGATGATTGAGCATCGTGGTGTAAGAAGTTCTCAACACACTGGAAAAATGATCTAAAAATAAGTAAAAAGGGGTATTTAGCCTTAATTAAAGCAGGAAAATAAGATGATTCTCAAATGGAATGATCTATCTATATTTAAGAGTAGAAATACTCATTCTATTGGCAGATCATCTTATTTTTCTATTAAAATAATTGGTAAAAACACTTAATTTAAGAAATGTTGACTTATTTCTAGGTGTTTTTTGCAGTGCAGGATGGATATTAAACTATGGTTTCCATTGTAGCAGGTGGGGGGGGTGCTGCTAGTTTCCTCCGGTGTGCGTTTAGGAGGTTTACGTTTTAAATTCTGCCTCTGCGTTTCTACAGAGCTGGATGACAGAGTGTGGGTGTGAATTGGACAGCTCGTCTTTTGGAGGATCAGTTGGTGCCGTAGGAGGTGTTAACTAGAACAGCCAAGTATTCCTCCGGGTCCTGTGCTGCTTTGCAGCCCTACATCCAAGCTCCCTGGGTCCATCCTCGGTCCCTCCGCTCTCCTCAGCTCCTTTCAACCTTTCTTCATTCCAGCCATCATGGCGTTCGTGTGGAAGCCGTGGTCAGATGGAAATGACAGAGTTCAAGTTTAGAGTTTTGACATTTGAAGTTCTTATTTAGACAGCTCATCTCCAACTCTTTCTGCAGATGAAGCTTCCACCTCCAGCAGAGCCAAACTTAAAGCGGGATCATTTCTGGAAAGTTCTCTTTGGAACCCAGCAAAGCCAAGTCTTAGAGAGATGCAGAAGGGGGAGGGGCATCTCCAGCTGCTAGAAATCAGAATACTGATTCTCATGTTAGACGCAAATCGTACGAAAAAAATTGGTTCCTAAATCCTTCGTACGAGATGGAGATGAAGAGATGAAGGGATGAAGGGATGAAGGGCGTGGTCTGGAGATCTGTTGGCTTCATGCTACAATCATTTGGATGGTTAATGGACTTCCTTCCTTCCTTCCTTCCACCCTTCCTTCCTTCCTTTACTGCATCCTTGTTTTCCTTCCTTCCTTCCTTCCTTGCTTCCGTCCTTCCTTCCTTCCTTCCTTCCTTTACTGCATCCTTGTTTTCCTTCCTTCCTTCCTTCCTTTACTGCATCCTTGTTTTCCTTCCTTCCTTCCTTCCTTCCTTTCTTCATTCCTTCCTTCCTTCCTTTACTGCATCCTTGTCTTCCTTCCTTCCTTCCTTCCTTCCTTCCTTCCTTCCTTCCTTCCTTCCTTCCTTCCTTCCTTCCTTCCTTCCTTCCTTCCTTCCTTCCTTCCTTCCTTCCTTTAATACATCCTTGTTTTCCTTCCTTCCTTCCTTTATTGCATCCTTGTTTTTCCTTCCTTCCTTCCTTCCTTTCTTCCTTCCTTCCTTCCTTTCTTCATTCATTCCTTCCTTCCTTCTTTCCTTTACTGCATCCTTGTTTTCCTTCCTTTCTTCCTTCCTTCCTTCCTTTCTTCATTCATTCCTTCCTTCCTTCTTTCCTTTACTGCATCCTTGTTTTCCTTCCTTTCTTCCTTCCTTCCTTCCTTCCTTCCTTCCTTCCTTCCTTCCTTCCTTCCTTCCTTCCTTTCTTCATTCATTCCTTCCTTCCTTCTTTCCTTTACTGCATCCTTGTTTTCCTTCCTTTCTTCCTTCCTTCCTTCCTGCCTTCCTTCCTTTCTTCCTTTAATGCATCTTTGTTTTCCTTCCTTCCTTCCTTTATTGCATCCTTGTTTTTCCTTCCTTCCTTTCTTCCTTTACTGCATCCTTGTTTTCCTTCCTTCCTTCCTTCCTTGCTTCCGTCCTTCCTTCCTTCCTTCCTTCCTTTACTGCATCCTTGTTTTCCTTCCTTCCTTCCTTCCTTCCTTTACTGCATCCTTGTTTTCCTTCCTTCCTTCCTTCCTTTCTTCATTCCTTCCTTCCTTCCTTTACTGCATCCTTGTCTTCCTTCCTTCCTTCCTTCCTTCCTTCCTTCCTTCCTTCCTTCCTTCCTTCCTTCCTTCCTTCCTTCCTTCCTTTAATACATCCTTGTTTTCCTTCCTTCCTTCCTTTATTGCATCCTTGTTTTTCCTTCCTTCCTTCCTTCCTTTCTTCATTCATTCCTTCCTTCCTTCTTTCCTTTACTGCATCCTTGTTTTCCTTCCTTTCTTCCTTCCTTCCTTCCTGCCTTCCTTCCTTTCTTCCTTTAATGCATCTTTGTTTTCCTTCCTTCCTTCCTTTATTGCATCCTTGTTCTTCCTTCCTTCCTTTCTTCCTTTACTGCATCCTTATTTTCCTTCCTTCCTTCCTTTACTGCATCCTTATTTTTCTTCCTTCCCCCCCCCCCCCCCCCCCACATATGGCCTGCTTTAACCTCTCAGATGCCCTCAATAGTTCCCCTCTCACTGGGACCTGGAGATGTTTCTACCTGCAGAGCAGCAGATCCTTCAGGGTTGGATCTTCAGTGAACTAGATCCCATCAGCTGCAGAGAGTTTCTGATTCTTCTAGGATTCATTTGTGACAGAACAGACGGCCCGCTGTGGCTTTCTGTGTCTCTGCATCCTGGATCACACACACTTCTATCAATTATCTAATTACAGCATTAGTGACTGCCCAAAACGGACCAGGAGTTAAATATAGAGCATCTGGTCCCAACCACCGTTTTATAGCTCTGCTTCTTCCCACACAACCTGCCACACATTTCCATGCTAAGCTAATTACACGGCCGCCTGCTCTGCGGTCCGCCCAGACGGCTAAGGTTTCCTGTCTGTTGACGTCAGATGTGTCTTTGAACCGTGTTAAAAAGTGCAGATTTAACAGAGTCACCTAAAAAAGTCTGATTTGGGGTAGAAAATAGAGTTTCCTTAAAGGGACGGCTGTGTTTTGACTGGTTTTGGACCAGTCTGGAGCAGAGGCAGCTGTTTGAAACCCTCAGAAATAGTACGGCGTTCTCGGGCTCAGACATAATAATGGAACTGAACCGGATAACCTGATATCAAGGAAGAAACCATCTGGCTGTGCTGCTAAAGTAACCTAGTGGATGTTTTCATCATAGTAATAACTATAGAAATAACCCATAGTGCTCGTATGAAGTGTAGTGGTACCTGATCAGTGCTGCGGTTCAGAGGGTTGGGGTCATTGAAATGCAGTCACAATTTTACTAAATCCATCTTCAAGTTGCTGTTGCAACTTGATCTTTGGTCAAGCAAGAGAAAAACATCCGCCGGCGTTCTGTCAGACCAGCATACGCCGTCAGATCAGCAGAACTATAGTCAATTCCCATGAGCAAGACCTCAGATTTGCGTTTATCCCTTTAATTTTGTACGAAAAATAGACTTAAAACTACCTCAATGGGCGTGTATCCCTTTAGTCATGTACAAAAAGAATAATTTCATACGCTTCAAAAAACACTAAAAACTAAGTAATTAAATTTGTCTTTTTGTACATGACCAGAGGGATACACACCCATTGAGGTACTTAAGTGCACCATTGGTACATAACTAAAGGGATAAATGGGTTTAGACTATAGGTATGCTCATCTGACAGAACTCTGCCTAACATGGTGGATAGCGCATCCCGGGCATGGAAGGCGTCACCTGAAGGCCGTCATTAACTAACTGAAGTAATGTTGATAAAAGTACTATAAGGTTGTTATTACTTCTTTAACAGATGTTTTCTATGTGAAAGGAGCGTTTTACAGTCGGTGCGGAACACCTTTAAATCAAACCCTGTAACTTTCATATCAACGAGTCATTTTGATCATGTAAAGAAAAGGAAGAAAAAGCTTTTTTCTTAGTGTTGTGGGGAAAAAAGTATTTAACTATTTATACAGTTAAATAAACGGAGATTGATGGATTTCACTCAGTCTGCACTTTATTTTTTCTTTGCAAAGAGAGAACGGTTCATCATACGACCCTTATTACGGTAATCAGCCCTGTTCTGATCTGGGCAGCGTTCGCTCTGCCTTACTTACAAGAATGGAAAATGGAGAGGAAAAACTCCCTTTGAACAGGAAGAAACCTCCAGCAGAACCAGGCTCAGTGTGAGCGGCCATCTGCTGAGGCCCACTGGGGTTCAAGGAGACAGAAGCAGACATAGAAAAAGAAGCATAGATACAAAAGGCAACTGTCAACCAGCTCCACAGGCGGCCCCGTCTAGGAAACACACAGCCAGGCAGACGAGCTCCGAGCCAGCTCCCATGTCAGAGGATGAAGAGAGCACATCCAGTTAGTCACAGTCAGAGAAACAGGACCACACTGGAAAACAGGCCAAGCTCCAACATCTAGAAACAAAGGTGTTGATGGCAGCAGCACAGCTGATATTTCTCTCCAGGATGGAGTCACAGCCAAACAGGAACAGACCAGATGAAGCTACTATGAGAAAAAGCAGAGAGAGCAGAACGTTAGAGATTGAACTAACAGATTCTGCAGAGTGGGAGAATAGAGATAGAATGAAGCAGAATGATGAAAAAGGGGTCCCTATGTCCTCCAGCAGTCTAAGCCTATAGCAGCATAATTATACAGATAGAATGAAGCAGAATGATGAAAGGTCTAATCAAATAACAGCCACTCTGGTTAAACAGAAACATGTTATGAATAAACCTTGAGAAATAATCTGTCTTGTCTATAAACACCCTCATCCAGGCATTTTGTGGCCTTGCAGGGGAAACAGATCTTTTATAATGAGTAAATAGCAGAAATCAATATATGAAATAAGATAAATCCTTTTAAGATCCTTTAAGCTAATATGTCTTTGTCACTGAAATGGCAGATGATGAGAGGACCTTTGAACCCAGAGCTCTGAAAGGGTCTGTGATTTTTCTCCAGTGTGCCGTCAGAGCAGCAACACAAGGCCGGGTTCTGGTTCTGGAGGGGCTGGAGAAAGCGGAGAGAAACGTCCTCCCCGTCCTCAACAACCTGCTGGAGAACAGAGAGATGCAGCTGGAGGACGGCCGCTTCCTGATGTCAGCGGAGCGCTACGACAAGCTGCTGCGGGTCAGAACAGCACGCACCTCAGACACCAATCAGAGCCCTCTGAATGTGGAAAGAAGGGTGGCGGTTCCCTCCGTTAACTGCAGCACTGCCAGGCTGCTTTTTATAGATTCTTGTTTCACACTTAAACTGTGAACTTTCACGCTTCTCCCACGGAGCTCTGGCTTTTTATTTTACTGCCTTTAATAAAAATCTGTAGTCTGGAGGTGTCTTTGGTTACATCACGTCCCACAGAGGAGGAGAAAACGCTCCTTTCTGTGTCCGTCCCTTTCAGGAGCATACCAAGGAGGAGCTGGACAGCTGGAAGATCGTCCGGGTGAGCGAGGACTTCCGGGTCATCGCTCTGGGTCTGCCGGTTCCTAAATATAAGGGCAACCCCCTGGATCCTCCTCTCCGCTCCCGCTTCCAGGCCAGAGACGTGTATTACCTGCCCTTCAAGGTCAGAGCAGAAACACACACGCCAGTGAGGTTCTGAAGAGAAGCAGGCCCACAGCACCATGCTGCCACCGCCGTGGTTCAGAGTAGTGTGGAGGGAGGGAGGGTTTCTACCACAGGTAGACCAGCCAGTTAAAAATGGAGGAATCCTTTAGCAACGATATGAAAACATTGATGGACTCAAGAAATAATGGATGATAGATTCTCTCCTCCCTCCTTCCTCCCCCTCTCTTCCTCCTTCCTTCCTTCCTTCCTTCCTTCCTTCCTTCCTTCCTTCCTTCCTTCCTTCCTTCCTTCCTTCCTTCCTTCCTTCCTTCCCTCCTTACTCCCTCCTTACTTCCTCCCTCCTTCCTTCCTCCTTACACCCGCCTTCCTTCCTTCCTTCCTTCCTTCCTTCCTTCCTTCCTTCCTTCCTTCCTTCCTTCCTTCCTTCCTCCCTTCCTTCCTCCCTCCCTCCCTCCTTACTCCCTCCTTACTTCCTCCCTCCTTCCTTCCTCCTTACACCCGCCTTCCTTCCTTCCTCCTTACTCCCTCCTTCCTCCCTCCTCCCTCCCTCCTTCCTTCCTCCTTGCTCCCTCCTTCTTTCCTTCCTCCTTACACCCGCCTCCCTCCCTCCCTCCCTCCTTCCTTCCTCCTTACACCCGCCTTCCTTCCTTCCTTCCTTCCTTCCTTCCTTCCTTCCTTCCTTCCTTCCTTCCTTCCTTCCTTACTTCCTCCCTCCTTCCTTCCTCCTTACACCCGCCTTCCTTCCTTCCTCCTTACTCCCTCCTTCCTCCCTCCTCCCTCCCTCCTTCCTTCCTCCTTACTCCCTCCTTCCTTCCTTCCTTCCTTCCTCCTTACACCCGCCTTCCTTCCTCCCTCCTTCCTTCCTCCTTACTCCCTCCTTCCTTCCTTCCTCCTTACTCCCTCTTTCCTTCCTTTCTCCACCCTCCTTCCTCCTTCCTCCCTCTCTCCCTCCCTCCTTCCTTTGTCCTCCCTCCTTCCTTTCTCCTTACTCCCTCCTTCCTTCCTCACTCCCTCCTTCCCCCCTCCTTACTCCCTTCTTCATTCCTTTCTCCTCCCTCCCTCCTTTCTCCCTCTCCCTCCCTCCTTCCTTCCTCCCCCCTGACTCCTTCCTTCCTCCTTACTCCCTCCCTCCTTCCTTCCTCCCCCCTGACTCCTTCCTTCCTCCTTACTCCCTCCTTACTCCCTCCTTCCTTCCTTTCTCCTCCCTCCTCCCTCCCTCTCTCCCTCCTTCCTTCCTTCCTTCCTTCCTCCCTCCTTCCTTCCTCCTTCCTCCCTTCTTCCTTCCTTCCTCCTTACTTCCTCCTTCCTCCCTCCCTCCTTCCTTCCTCCCCGCTGACTCCTTCCTTTCTCCTTCCTCCCTCCTTCCTTCCTCCCTCCCTCCTTCCTCCTTACTCCCTTCTTCCTTCCTTTCTCCTCCCTCCCTCCTTTCTCCCTCTCCCTCCCTCCTTCCTTCCTCCCCCCTGACTCCTTCCTTCCTCCTTACTCCCTCCTTCCTTCCTTTCTCCTCCCTCCTCCCTCCCTCTCTCCCTCCTTCCTTCCTCCTTACTCCCTCCTTCCTTCCTTCCTTCCTCCCTCCTTCCTTCCTCCTTCCTCCCCTCTTCCTTCCTTCCTCCTTACTTCCTCCTTCCTCCCTCCCTCCTTCCTTCCTCCCTCCGTCCTTCCTCACCCCCCCTCCTTAAACCAGTTTGAACCAGTTGGAGCTGCTGGGGTTTAGGTCACCTATCAGTCACAGTGATGTTAAACTGCCTCCTCCTGCTAGCATGTGGGATGGAGGCGGAGCTTGTTATGGCCGATCTCGGTCTTCATGGAGGTCAAAGGTTGTGGTGTTTCTATCTGCAGGACCAGCTGGAGCTGCTGTACTCAGCGGGGCCAAACGTTGCTGCTGAAAGGTAACCTTGGAGCAGCGGTGACCCTCTGTGGGCTCAACTTCAGCCTCTCATTAGGAGCTGTGCTCTGCTCCTCAGGGTTTCCCAGCTCCTGTCCCTCGCTACGACCCTGTGCTCCCAGGAATCTTCCGGTCTGGGCCTTCCTGATTTCCCAGTGGATAACCTGCCTGCTGCGCTCCATGTTCTGGTCAGACTGGGAGTTCATTCCTCGCTCTGTTTTCATATAAAAATATTCCTAATGTTTAGTATTATTTCCTTCTGCTGCAGAACACGTTCCCCATGCTGTCCTCTCAGCAGCTTGTCCAGAGACTTTATCCCTACAAGAGCATCCTGGGAAAAGATGGACACACGGCTGTGGAGAGCGTGCTGAGTGTAAGGATTTAAAGGGCTGCGTTTCATTTCCCAGGCGAATGAGTCCTAAACACGCATCGTTTACTGTCCATGCAGCGCTTTGAGCTGTCAGACGGCCGCCGTCAGGCAGCGCCCAGCAGCGTTCTGAGCGTTTCCACGTCCAGGGAAAGCGAAGGCCAGGCCGACGTCACCGTGCAGAGCGCCGGTGAAGAAGTCACCTTTCAGGTAGGTACAGGACCACTTTTATCAGCAGGAACCTTTACTTTAGCAGGGAATCAGGTGATGCCAACATGGCAACTATGAGATTTCAGATGCCGAAAAAGCCCTGCTGAGCGAAAACCGTGGAAGGTATTCAAAAGATTGTTGTACTGTGAGCGTCAGCCATCGATTGGTACATGTATGTCATTAATAACAATATTTATGAAGGTGTAAAAACGCGTATTCACATTCGTTTTTCTTCCCTCTTTTCGAAAATCAATGGAAAAACTGTCAGAATTTCATGAACTTTCGGTCGGAGGGGTTTTGAGGAAAACAATAAATCCTACGGTAATTCCAAAGACATTGTGTGGAAGCAGAGACTTTAGTCTACAAACTGACCAAAAATAGTGACTGTAGAGATAAATATGCGGCCTAGACTGCTACTTCAAAACTTTTGATCCTTTTAAAAAAATGGCTGCCTCACATTCTGATAAACCACCTACTCTGAGTTGCTGGATTTTGGTTAGATTTTGTGGTGCTTTAAGGCTGATTTTTTAAAAACTGTAGCAGTTATTAACATACCGTCTTCAGTTTTTGAAAGATGAAGAATTTATCTACAAACTGAGCTTCAAACGGTGTTTCTAGGTGAATGTATGACCACACAGCAAAGGGTCAAAAATATGGGATTTTTATGTCTTCTTTCTCCCCTCTCCCCATTCATTCCTATGGGATTTTTGTGCAAGGTTTTTGGCGAATTACGTCACCATGGTAACTCCAATCACTTATAAAAGTAATAACACCCAAGCGAAGACCGGGCCGGACATTTTGATACCCATATTGCAATGGCAGGCAATGAAAATTACACTTATTAAAAACACTGATCATCAGAGATGGCAAAAGTACTCACTTTCCGTACTTGAGTAAAAGTACAGATACTTGTGTTAAAAAATACTCTGGTAAAAGTGGAAGTACTGATTAAACTTCTTTACTCAAGTAAAAGTAACAAAGTACAGGCTTGTAAATTTACTTAAAGTATAAAAGTAAAAGTAGAAACCACTTTTTTCATGCCGTTGCCTACATTTTAAATGGATGTCTGCCAATAGGACTAGATCTCCGTTGTGTTCATTTTCAATCATCTCGTCGTCCATGCTACTATGCTAACGCCACCGCCACCAAGCTGCAATGATTTGCCGCCAATGAATACCGCCGAATCGGTCCATTCATCTTGTAGTGGTGCGTCAAATGCAACGTAGATTCCCATCCAATTAGATTGAATTTGGAATTTGGTAACTCCGTTGAAATTATTCAAAACTAAAGTAACGAGCCAATTTTTTTGAAATGTAAGGAGTAGAAAGTACAGATATTTGTGTAAAAATGTAAGGAGTAGAAGTAAAAAGTCGCCATAAAAATAAGTAGTAAAGTAAAAATATCAGAAAAATCTACTTGAGAACAGTAATGAAGTATTTGTACTTCGTTACTTCCCATCTCTGCTGATCATTAATTGAACAGGATGGAATAATTTCATAATTAAAGAACTTTTAGAAGTTTGAAGTCTGGATATGAGCGGACTTTTCCTTTAACGAAGATCTTCATCCAACTTTCCTGCTGAAGATACTTCCTCTGTCAGTCCGGAAAACACGATGGAGAACAACATCAAAGGTCAGAGCGTTGAAGTTTGGCTTCAGCTTTCAGATTAGATTACCATTAGCAGATGGAGAAAAAACAAAATCTGAGTCCTGAGAGGAGAGGATTGCTTCCCCGTCCGTCAGTACGAGTCTAGAATGTGACGTTCAGAGTGTCGGTACAAACAGAAGAAGATTCAGGATCATCTCTGGACTCTTTAGCCTCATGAGGTTTCACTCGCAGATCAGTCTGGCTACTCTCTGTTAAAGAAAATTTGGAGCCATTCACCAAACGAACGTCCAATCAGCGTTGGCTTTGAGGCAGGTTGAGGTGTGACGCAACGAGAAGCGCGACAGTTCAGTCTAAAGAACATGGCGGCTTCAGCCGATGAAACTAGCGTTAGCGTGGCTATCGAGCAAGTTTTATGGGAATTACAGAGTATTTCTTCACTGAAAGAAGAGCAAAACACTGCTCTGGAGGCTTTTCTCAGAGGGAAAGATGTTTTTGCTCTTCTCCCGACTGGTTTCGGCAAGAGTTTGATCTATCAATTGGCTCCTCTTCGTCGTCGCTCTGTTAGTACGTCATATGCTTCGTTGATCTGATTGGTTTATTTGGCCCGTCTATCACCAACATAGGCCAATCAGCTAACCAGTATTTTCGCCCCTTCCAAAAATTACTTCAACGGAAGGTTTCCAGATGGATATGCGGAGTCAGGTTATGGACTCTTAGCTTCACGTCTGGAAACCTACTTCCTGTGAACTAAATAAATAAAACTGACGGCCGCTAGCGTAGCTTCCAACCCTCTGGTCAGGAATGCAGATCAGCAGCTGACTTCTCGTGGTTGTTGATTTTCAGGTTCCAGCAGGCGACAAAGAGCTGCGCCCCCCCAACAGCAGCCCGACCTTCATCAACACCCCGAGCCACTCGCAGCTGCTGGCCGAGATGATGCAGTCGCACATGGTGAAGGACCTGTGTCTGATCGGCGCTAAGGTAGAGGACTGCATGCATCCACACACACGCAGCATCGCCCAGAGCGAACGTGGCCTCAGCTTTCTACTGCTGTCATGCTCCTCAGGGCTGCGGGAAGTCCGTGATCGCCAGAGAGTTCGCCGAGATGTTGGGCTACAGCATGGAGCAGGTCATGCTCTACCAGGTAAATTATTGTCCCCTTTTCTAGGTAATCTGTTGCTTTTCAGCGAGTTTAATCCGGGGAGCCGTCCAGAAGGTAGCTGAGGTTCTCCAGGGACGAGGCTAGTACCATGATGCAAAGAGAGGAAGCAGCTGTTTTATTATTTCCCTGGAACTTTTAGATGGAGAAAGGTAACAAAGCCAATCCAAAAAAGTAAAAAAAAAACTATCTACTGGACTTTGTTTCCAGGTTTGAAGACGTTTCTCTTCCATCCAGGAAGCTTTTTCAATTCAAAATGTCAGAAATAGGGTTGAGTTCCAGGTTTTATGCTACGTTCACACCTAAAGCAGCAACAGCAGCAGAAACATGCGTGCTGCTTCATTTCTGATGCTTGTACCAGTTTAGTTCTGATGAGCAGCTGAAGAATCTTTGCTGCTCTGGCTGCGAGGTGGTAAAGTGGGTCTAATGCGCTGTGGGCGGAGCTACCCTATCCTTTCTCTGCCTGGAACAATGGCGGCTATATTAGCTGTGATCAGCGGGTAGAAAGTAGTTAGAATCTATGTTGAAGTGAGAAAGTCCTCCTGAAAACATGGTCTGTGCAGTCAGTTCATCCAGATTACCATCCTGCCTTCAAAGATTATTTCTCTGTGGGAGCCGCTCAGACCCCCACATACCGGCGCAGCGCTGTCACTGGGAATCCCCAGCAGCAGCTGCCTCAGGCCCGCTCGCCTCTTGGGGGTTTTCCCCTCCTGTTGGTGGCGGCTGGAAGTAGATGTTAGCGTTTTTCAGGTCTGTGCTACAAACTGCAGGCAGCAGGATAATAAAAGCCAACATATTCTGCCGGCAGGTTTCTACATTTGAAGTTAATTTAGGCGTTAATAAACTGTTTCAGAGGAGTGATCATAGCGCTCTGCATCAGCAGTGCTGCGTCTGACTCCTGCAGCTAACGTTTACATTTCCAACTCCAGCAGCTGCTGATGGTGAAGCGCGTCCCTGCTTCAGCTGGTCATACGCGCTGCAGGACCTTTAGCTGCGCTTTGATGCGGGTCAACCGTTGACTTTGCATGTAAAATAGCTGCTTCTGCTCGTTGCGATCTGAACGTAGCATTATAGAGTGGACCACAAACAAAGCCTTGCATGACTTAGAAAACATGCAAGGTGAACCGTAGGAAGGGGTCCGCCCCTTAGGAATGGGGGTCGTTTGGGTTGTTTTTTTAGCCTGCAATACCTGATAGAGGTCTATGCCTCTGAAAGGGGTTCGTAAGGGGGATTGTTGGCCTGGCTGAAGCTAACAAAGAGCTCAAATGACAAATGAAAATTGAAACGATGGGTCTTGAAAGGGACAGCCAGGCCAACTATTCCCTTTAATGACCCCCCTTTCAGAGACATAGACAGGTATGGGACATTGCAGGCTAACAAAGAAGCCAAACGAACCCCATTTCAAAGGGGGGGACCTGGGAGATGGTTTACAGCTTAGAGATCACTGCCTGTCAAAGCAAAGCGGCCTTATCTTTCAAACTCTGCTGCGACATGTTGCCGTGGGATTAGACAGGACAGCCTTCCTCAGCAGAGACCCCCCCCCCCTCCCCTCCCCCCCTTCCTGACAGAGAAAGTGCCGGTAGGTGTTATCGCTGCAGCAGAGATGTGGGTCAGATCGTTTATATGAGACGATGAAGATAAACATGTTTCTGAGCTTAAACTTTCTGTAGAATATGAAGTGGAGATGCAGATCCTCTATATATGATGTTAATATTGCTGTAATAGTTGATCCAATATCTATGGCAGTAGTAGACATTCAAAAAGGCTTTCCTTGATGGGTCCTTGGCTGGTCCTTGGCTGGTCTTTGGCTGGTCTGTGGCTGGTCTTTGGCTGGTCTTTGGCTGGTCTTTGGCTGGTCCTTGGCTGGTCTTTGGCTGGTCCTTGGCTGGTCCTTGGCTGGTCTTTGGCTGGTCCTTGGCTGGTCCTTGGCTGGTCCTTGGCTGGTCTGTGGCTGGTCTTTGGCTGGTCCTTGGCTGGTCTTTGGCTGGTCCTTGGCTGGTCCTTGGCTGGTCTTTGGCTGGTCCTTGGCTGGTCCTTGGCTGGTCCTTGGCTGGTCTTTGGCTGGTCTTTGGCTGGTCTTTGGCTGGTCCTTGGCTGGTCTTTGGCTGGTCTTTGGCTGGTCTTTGGCTGGTCTTTGGCTGGTCCTTGGCTGGTCTTTGGCTGGTCCTTGGCTGGTCTGTGGCTGGTCTTTGGCTGGTCTTTGGCTGGTCCTTGGCTGGTCCTTGGCTGGTCCTTGGCTGGTCTGTGGCTGGTCTTTGGCTGGTCTTTGGCTGGTCCTTGGCTGGTCTTTGGCTGGTCCTTGGCTGGTCTTTGGCTGGTCCTTGGCTGGTCTTTGGCTGGTCCTTGGCTGGTCCTTGGCTGGTCTGTGGCTGGTCTTTGGCTGGTCCTTGGCTGGTCTTTGGCTTGTCCTTGGCTGGTCTTTGGCTGGTCCTTGGCTGGTCCTTGGCTGGTCTGTGGCTGGTCTTTGGCTGGTCCTTGGCTGGTCTTTGGCTGGTCCTTGGCTGGTCTTTGGCTGGTCCTTGGCTGGTCTTTGGCTGGTCCTTGGCTGGTCCTTGGCTGGTCTGTGGCTGGTCTTTGGCTGGTCCTTGGCTGGTCCTTGGCTGGTCTTTGGCTGGTCCTTGGCTGGTCTTTGGCTGGTCTTTGGCTGGTCCTTGGCTGGTCTTTGGCTGGTCCTTGGCTGGTCTTTGGCTGGTCCTTGGCTGGTCCTTGGCTGGTCCTTGGCTGGTCTGTGGCTGGTCTTTGGCTGGTCCTTGGCTGGTCTTTGGCTGGTCCTTGGCTGGTCTTTGGCTGGTCCTTGGCTGGTCCTTGGCTGGTCTGTGGCTGGTCTTTGGCTGGTCTTTGGCTGGTCTTTGGCTGGTCCTTGGCTGGTCCTTGGCTGGTCTGTGGCTGGTCTTTGGCTGGTCCTTGGCTGGTCTTTGGCTGGTCCTTGGCTGGTCCTTGGCTGGTCTTTGGCTGGTCCTTGGCTGGTCTTTGGCTGGTCCTTGGCTGGTCTTTGGCTGGTCCTTGGCTGGTCCTTGGCTGGTCTGTGGCTGGTCTTTGGCTGGTCTTTGGCTGGTCTTTGGCTGGTCCTTGGCTGGTCCTTGGCTGGTCTGTGGCTGGTCTTTGGCTGGTCCTTGGCTGGTCTTTGGCTGGTCCTTGGCTGGTCCTTGGCTGGTCTTTGGCTGGTCCTTGGCTGGTCTTTGGCTGGTCCTTGGCTGGTCTTTGGCTGGTCCTTGGCTGGTCCCTTACAATTCCTTTTTAAACATCAATCTTTGTACTAAAATATTATTTCTGTCATGATTTGTGGACATTAAGATCTAAAGAGAAGCGCCATCTCCTGGTCAGACCCTGTATTGAATGAAAGGGTGGAGTCAGAGTAAAAAAAAAATATACAAGAGGGAGTTACTGCAGTGGCTGGAAGTTGGAGGGGATTCTGATGGGAGTTGCAGGGAAGTGGGCTGCCATTCGGCTGGTGTTTGACTGGGAACGGCCATTTTGAATGGCTGCTACTCTCTGTGTGTCATTTATATCTCACCACCATTTAGACTCTCTTTAGAAGCGACGCAGCGATGAGGTTACTGATGTGTTTCAGTCAAACAGCCCTCAGCCCAGCGTTGCATGTCTGTCTCTACCCCACCAATACAGAAAATGTTCATCTAAGTAATTCAGTTTTTGCATTTTTCTGGAATTGAGCAGGTAGGCGATACACTTTGCCAGTGGAACAAGACAATTTACATTTGAAATAAGAAAAAACTATTGCATTTTCTTATCTCAAGTCTATATTATCTAAGTGTCTTATTTTAAGTGTAAAAATACTCTTTCTATTAGCAGATCATCTTATTTACCTGCTCAAATTACAGTTCAATATGTTTATTTTAAGATATTTCTACTTATTTAATAAAGTTTTTGCATTGAGATACTTTGGGTTTCAATGGAATCAGTATATCTACTCTTAAAATAAGATAATTAGATAATATGCACTTGAAATAAGTTTTATTTTATTTGAAATGTAAATAATGTTCCATTGGCAAAGTGTCTCCCTTACCTCCTCAATTGAAGAAAAATTCTTATTTTAAGAAAAAAATTACTCATTTAAGTGTTTTAGTAGTGTGTATATTATTCTTCATAAATTCCAAAAAAACTTAAAACCAACCACTGGACTTTGTTTACAAAGGGATGAACCGGTCCCCCCCTTTGGAATGGGGGTCGTTTGGCTTCTTTGTTAGCCTGCAATGCCCCGTACCTGTCTATGTCTCTGAAAGGGGGTCGTTAGAGGGAATTGCTGGTCTGGCTGAAAGGCGAACTGGCCCCTCATGGCTACACTTCAATCATGAGGTAATTAGAGCGTTAAGAGTTAGCCAACATCAGCGCAGAATAGAGGGATTCCCACCACAACATGAGCAGTGCGTCCTCTGAATCCCGCTGAAGCGGCGGCCATGTTGGAAAGGGAACCTCTTTCCTAACCTCCCCTTTCCGGGTAAATCAAACTGATTTTTCATTTTTACCAGTTTTCCAGTCCGAGCTGATGAGAACCCCACAGTACCATTTTGACTTCATCGTGTCTTTGATATCTGCACGATTTTGATTGGTGTTAGCATTATGCTACGTAGCTTTACATTCACTGACTAACCTGCTGTTTTAGGAGCCATCTTTGATCTCTGTGTTTGTCTGCAGCGAAGCACAGGTCGGTGCAGCTTTCAGCGCTCATGCAGACGGATCCTCTGGTCTCTGCAGCACCGTGGGGGATTTCTTTGGCCTCTTGGTTGCTGCTCTGATTAACGCTCGGCCTGCCCTCCCCTGGCAGGTTCCCTGTGGCTATATTTTCTTAATAATGGCCTTAATGTTTCGCCGGGGGAGATCCAGTGTTGAGGTCACTGTTTCTCAGAGTTTTATGGCAGGTGGATTTTTGCTGAGGACATCTGAGACTTTGAAAAGCTCCTAAAAGGATCTAATCTTCTTTTGAAAGACTGTATAGTTGTTCCGGTTTCCTGTCAGTTTCTAATGAATCTGTTGTGGTTAAAACATCACCTTCTTTACGAGACTTTTATCGTCTCTTCTGTATTTTTGTTGCTTTAATTTCAAATGTTCCTTCCTGGTTTATCCAACCTCCTTGTTGTCTCATCCAGGACATGACAGCCAGGGACCTTCTGCAGCAGAGGTACACCCTCCCCAATGGAGACACAGCCTGGAGGCCGTCTCCTCTGGTCACTGCTGCCTTGGAGGGCAAGCTGCTGCTCCTGGATGGCATCCACAGGGTTAACCTGGGAACCCTGGCCGTGCTCTCCAGGTCGACCCCCATTTCATTTCTTCTCAGAGCCTCTAACGTTGAGTCATCTGCAGAGCCGGATCCATAAGTGCCAACCTCACCCTGCAATATTTTCAGGTTGCTCCATGACAGGGAGCTGGACCTTTACGACGGGACCAGGCTGCTGAGGTGGGACAGATACCAGGCGCTGAAGGAGCAGCTGCAGCTTAGCGACCAGCAGATGCAAGAAAGGTATGAAGGGACACAGATGGACAGAGGAAGGCGAATATGTTGGTTTTTAATAGCAGTTTATAGATCAGATTGCAGCAAATGCTGTAAAAATGCTGACTCCATATATGAGAGCTGTTCAGACCAAAACCAGGTCAAAGCCTGAAGGCGTAAAACCGGATTCAGTTCTGAGCAAATATTCTCTGATCTGTTCCTAAAAAGTAAAAAAAAAATCAATCCACTGGACTTTGTTTCCAAGTTTGAAGACGTTTCTCTTCCATCCAGGAAGCTTTTTCAATTCACAATGTCAGAAATAATAGTTGAGGTCCAGGTTTTATATAGTGGAGCAACAAAGCCTGGTTTCCATACCTGTCTATGTCTTGAAAGGGGGGTCGTTAACACTAGAACTCCCATGTTCTGTGGTCAAACCGTCCTTTTGACGGTTCTGAGATTTTAAAGGGAAAGAACTTTATCTACATTAATCATATGTTTCTCATGTTAACCGACTTGTTTCCATATTTCCTTCATTTTCACATATTTTTTTTAATAGAATAAAAACGTAAAAAATCTGTATGTTTAATTTTACCTCGATCTCCCACAGCGCTCATTCTGACGGCTCTAGGAGTTGCATTGTAAATTCTTCCCACATTTGATTGACGTTGGGTACAGTTGCTTAGCAACCAACATTTTTGTTATCTAGAACTCTTTGGCTAATGCGGAAAAATGGGTTTCAGAAGAAATCTTACCGTGAAACAGTCTTCTAAATATTGATGATAGCGATTCGGGCGGAGAGGGAGAGACCGATGAGAAGCTGCTCAGATTATGACGGCGAGTCCGAAGATGATCAACGCAGACGTATCAGTGAACCATCAGACAATAAACTTTAGTTCAAGGCTTGGATAGCACTGCCCACAGCTCAGCTGGTTCACTCAGCGGCCCAAAGCCAAACCAGAGCCCCTGATCTACTATAATCACTCATGGGTTCGGCCTGGATGTACGGGATCAGACCATTAGAAAGGGTTCTATAAAAGCTCCAACGTGAAGCTGGCCTGTGGCTGATATTTGACGATCTCCTGGACATAGCAGCTGTAAACTCCTTGGTTTTTCACCGTCTGACGCAGAGATTTTATCCTTGAACCGGTTAAACAGTTGCAGGCAAACCACAGTGTCAGGTCTAAGCACCTAAAACATCAGGGAAAGAAAGAAGGCACAGAGACAATTCATTTAGTTTTACTCGCGAGGAGAGTAGGAAGAGACTGCATCTCCACCCCACTCTGCTGGTTTTCAGCCTTTTCCTCACTATTTATTGAAGTCAGGGGATGTCCCTAATTACACAAGCTGAGGTTTAACTAAGGGAAAGGGAAACACAATGATCTTACTTTAAACCTCAGCACATAGGTTAAAACAAAGCATGTGGTTGTTTTACAATTGAATTGTTCCAAGAACACATGGTTAGAAGAAACATGTGATAGAGGATGTTCAGGCCTCCTTCACAACCCGTCCGTTGCATGACCTTTAGGGCTGCAACAACGAATCGATAAAATCGATAAAAATCGACTTTTAAAAGCGTTGGCAACGAATTTCATCATCGATTGGTTGTGTCGCGCGATGAATGCGTCATCCGCCGCCGCCGTCATCACATCCACTTGACTGAAATGGGGGAATAAAAAAAAAATACGGCAGAGCGAGCCAGCGCCGCAGGTGCGCAGTGTTGCCAACTCACTGACTTTGTCGCTATATTTACCGTATTTTCACGACTATAAGGCGCACTTAAACGTCTTTTTTTTCCCTCAAAATGTGCGGTGCGCCCTATGGTGCGGTGCGCCCTATGTGTGTTGTAACTGCGACTTTTGAGACCACCTCATTGAGGAGATGATGAAAGAGTGGCTGAATGTAAGGAGACCAGGTGTTTTTTTTTCCACCCCTCACCATCGCTGTTAATATGTGACTCCATGCGTGCCCATCTCACAGCTGATGTGAAAAACATGGGGAAACAAATTAACGCTGTGCTCGCTGTTCAACCGCTCGACATCGGTGTGAACCGGACCCAGCAGGTGCAGCAGAAGCAGCGAGTTTACATGCAAAGTCAATGGTTGACGCGCGTATAGGTGCAGCAAAAGGTCCCGCAGCGCGTTTTGGTGCAGCACGTCGGGAGCGTTTAAGCATCTGACGCACCGCCAACGCGCTGCTGCTGCTCAAGATGGAAAAATTGAAGTTTTGCTGCTGGACGCGCCGCATCAACCAATCAGAGAAGCTGATCTGGGAGCTGACAGCGATACAGACACAGCGCTCTGATGACATATGATATTAAATGAAAAAGGCTGGGTGGATGCGTGGCTGAGGCAGGTGTATCTGAGAAGACTAGGTGTTTTTTTCCACGCATCACCATTGCTGCGTGCCCATCTCACAGCCGATGTGAAAAAAAGGTGAATCAAATGAACGCTGTGCTCGCCGTTATCCCGGGGGTTCAAAGTAAGGCTGCGAGTGGCGTGGTGGCGATGGATGACAGACGGAGACCACAGTTTCAGGATAAGTGGAAGGCAGCGCCGGGCGAGTTACGCCACCGTTTGCGGATGGATTGTTGATGCTTGGACTAAAGTGTCTGCTGGCTCTGTTCTTCAAGCTTTTGCAAAAGCCGGCATTATTTATCAGGAGCCGCGCTGCACGGAAAGTGACTCTGACAGCGAAGAAGGGGAAACTGGCATGTCTGATTTAGCGCAGCTGTTTTATTCAGAAACAGAGGATGATGACTTTGATGGGTTTGATTAATACTTTGTAATAAATACATGAATAAAGCACAATCATACTCAGTTTTGCTCCCGCTCTATTTTTCTACCTGAAAACTTAATTCAACAGCAGCCTCTGGGCGGGTCTCCTCCTCTTCACCGCGGCGGCTGGCAGGTGTTTTTTCATCTAAATAATCTAAATCTTGCAGCTATATTTGCTGTGATCAGTGGGAATAAAGTAGTTTTAATATGTTTTTAAGTGAGAAAGTCCACCTGAAAACTTAATAATTGCAGTCAGTTCATCCAGATTATCTATTTCTGTCGGAGCCGCTCAGACCCCCACATACCAGCGGTGCACCGACAGCAGAAATCCCTTCAACAGCAGCCTAACCGCGGCGGCTGGCAGGTGTTTTTCATCTAAATAATTTAAACTGCAGGCACCAGGATACCGGCAATAAAAGCGAACATATTCCGTCGGCAGGTTTCAGGATTTTAAGTTAATTTAGGAGTGATCACAGCGCTGTGTCATCTGCGATGTGTCTGTCTCACGGCCAGCTGCCAGGTTTGATTAATACTTTGTAATAAATACATGAATAAAGCACAGTCATACTCAGTTTTGCCCCCGCTGTATTTTTAAATACGCAGTAGAGGTATTTAAAGGTAGTAGAGGACATGTACCTGTATATAAAAAACGCGCCCTATAGTCCGGTGCGCCTTATGTGTGTGTTAAATACAGAAATGGGACACATAACTGAGACTGCGCCTTTTAGTCCGGTGCGCCTTATGGTCGTGAAAATACGGTAGCGACTTTTCAGACCCCTCCAGCGACTATTTTTTTAAAAAGCGGCTAGCGACAAATCTGGCGACTTTTTACGCTGTCACTGGCGGCTCTTGGAGAAAGCATGTATCGTTCCTACTCTGCCGTGGGGCGCCTCCCCCATCCCAACCCCGTTCTCCCGCAGGAGTCCCTCTCAGCGCTGCAGTCAGAGCCGCAGGACGTTTACCCTCGGCGTCCAGACTGCAAATGAAGCGCGCATGCGCCGGGATTGACGGCGCAAATTGATCATAATAATTAAAATAGCCTTTATAAATCAATTAACTTGCAAATTATGAGGGCAAGGCTTTTAAAGTTTAAATCTTCTGGCAAAGATAAAGTAAAGAAGATCCTGCAATTTATGGAAGTAAAGCAGAATAAAATCCAGTAAGATCAGTAATATGTCAATTAATTATCTGCCACATTCCCATGTAAATATCTGTCTTTGGAGGATGTGTTTTTTAGCACCCCTAGTTCTCTCATTTTTATTCCAAATACAATTTATAATTTGAATCACAGGGCTATTTTTATCTCTATGGTTCAGTATTTTCTCAAGTAGCAACTTTAACTGCTATACTTTCCTGTCTTAAAAGGCAGAACTCTTCTAGTCTAAAAAAACTCATTTGTTGAAATGGGGGGGCCTATTGTTTGAACCCCTTAGGGGCTTATAAAAACAAAAATGCATGTCTCTTTTTGTGCTTTATGAAACAAAGTACCCTATATTTTGTGGATGTACAGCTACATTTCTCATGTAAGTTTGCGTAGTTTTAACACAAACATTTATTTTTCATATTGCACCAGTACAGTTAATGAGCAACCTGTACTTGTGTGCTTGTTTGTTCTGTTTAACATGTTTATTTTGGAATAAAGAGGTTAATATAAAAAATATTTTTTGTCCGATTCATCGAAAAAATAATCGGCCGATTCATCGATTTTTAAAATAATCGTTAGTTGCAGCCCTAATGACCTTTATCTGAAACGATAAATCCAACATTATACATCATAATAGTTCATTAGTACACAACCAATGAAACACAAACGGAGTATAAATAAAATATTTCTAACACACAGGTTACCAGCCCCTCCCCCGCATTACAGCTTGACGAGGCAAAGAAAACAGCGCCAATCAATCAATTTCTGTAAATAAAATTGTAATTTCAAACTTTGAACCTGTGCCTTGGTCTTTAGGATGAACCAGTCTCTGTTTAAGGGTGTTTGGTTTGAAATATTCTGGGATTTTGTGTTTGGAGAAAATCCTCTTGAGTCTTTGAGAGACTTCAGCAACATGTGGGATGGAGATGTTTTTGCATTTAATCTTCTCACCGTTATCTTCTGCTGCGTGTCTTTTGGATTTCAGCCCAGGTTGGGTATCCGCAGGTTTGGAGAGCATCTTTGCGTTTCTGTTCTTTGTGTTTCTGTTCTAGTAGAGACATGCTCGGCCCGCTGCTGGAAGGTTCTGATGACTGAGAGTTGGCGTTCCAGTGGGGGGTGTTCTCTGATCTACGCTTTAGAACTGGGGTCGTATCTGAGGAGGTGTTTTAAAGCTCCTCTGATTAATTTCATACGTGAATCATCTTCCCACGCTCAGCTGGCGGTGGAGATGATGATTGGCGCCCTTGGGGGGGGGGATATATCCGGCGTGGGCGTGTCAGTGGTTTGATGGAAACGGACTCGGCTGTCTTTTTGAATCAGAGGAGCTCACAGCCAGCTGTCAGGAGTCATCCTCACAACCCAGACAGAAATTAGGCGGGACACCCCCCCCCACCGTCACGTGGTCAGACGGATGTGTCTGAGCAGCTGTTATCCAGTGTCTGTGCTTCCAGGTCCATCCTCCCCATCCACCGGGCGTTCAGGGTGCTGGCCCTGGCAGAGCCCCCTGTGGTTGGTGGGGGCTCCGGCAGCAGCAGGGGCCAGCAGCAGTGGCTGGGCCCCGAGCTGCTCACCATGTTCCTCTATCACACCGTGTCTCCTCTGGCCAGAGCAGAGGAGGCGGGCCTCATTCAGGGCCTGGTGAGTCCCACACACTAAACTTACATCCTTGCTTTTGATCTTTTCTTCTTTAATCTGTCTCCGTTTGATGTTTTCCTCAATCTTCAGGCTCCCAGTGTTCCGATGGGGGCAGCGGAGCAGCTGCTTCAGCTCACTCACAGCCTTCGTCAGACCAATGACCCCACCGTAAGTTCATCGCCTCTCATCAGTTTTCCTCCACGCCATCAGAGCAACATGCAGGACATGTCTCCCCCAGGCGCAGTCTCTGGCCTCCTCCCTCTCCACCAGACAGCTCCTGAGGATCTGCCGCCGTCTGTCGCGGTACCCCGAGGAGAGCATCGCTCACGCCGTCAATAAGGCTTGTCTCTCCAGGTGCTTGCAGACTCACACTGCTCCAAACAAGTATCCTCTGACTAACCGCCATGTTGATTAGAGACGGCCGCTCTCACCTTTATAGTGTTACATCATTAGGGAGAGCCGAACGGAAGTGGCTGCATGGGGCTGTGGGGATGAGCTCCTATAGAGGGAATTTAGTTCAGTATCTTTATTACTTTAAGGTTTGGTTTATGGAAAATTAAAAAAGAACAATCCAGACTAAAAAAAGGTTTTAAAATTCACTTTTTTCTCAGATTTCATTTTTTTCATTGTATTTATTTTGCATTTTTTTCTTACATTTTTTTAATTTCTCAGATCACATCCGTTTCTCTTCTGAGGGCACGTTTCTATTGGTCTGCTGGAGATTAGCTAAATGCCGTTTTATTGGTCCAAAACGAGCGTTTGTATCGGGCGTGAAGGGAGGACAGCGTTATCTGTGAAACACACTTTAAATACAACTTAATCAAAATTCAGTGTGAAAATATAAAAACTGTAAATATTATATAAAAAATAAGCTTGAAAAAAAAATTAAATCTGAGACAACAGCAAACATTATCCCCAATAGGTTTTTGATCAAGCAGTTTTTAAAAGTTTCTTTTTTTTATTTTTTAATTCCAAATTTAAAAAAACATATTTTTTTGAAACATAAAGGATCAAACACACTCCATTGGCACTAACACGGTATTAAATGGCCCCGGGGCCACATTGGACACTCCCCATGGACCTAAAAGCTGTGGCCCTCTTAGCGCTATCATTAATGTTGCATTAACTCTGAGTACATGTC